TTATCCACAATCTCTCGTTTGATCGGTGAAAATGAATCCCTTTCAAACACGACACATAAGCTAGAGTCGAGCCTAACCTAGTCATTGTTAGGCTCGTGGACACTCGAATACCAGAATGGTGGCTATTTGTGATTGTATTCCCACAGTCAAATGGCTGTTGCTTCGTTCCGTTGCCATTGAGGACAATGCGCCCGCCCCAGTCCACTTGGTCAACCGCCATTGCTATTGTACGACATGGTTCAAGGCTGCTGCCACAAGTCTTGGTATCACGTCCAAATATGGAAACGTGGACAGTTTGTCGAGGACCCTCGAGGCAATCTGTAAATACAAATTCACGAGACACATATTGGGATTACAAATTACAACTGGTTTTGATTTTACTTTAAATATTTTCATTGAAATTGTAATCTTTTTCTTTAGCAAGAGTGACTAGTACAAATAAAGATTGATTATTATTATTGAATTTAATTATGTGCTATTTCTGGTTATATACTTGGTGTGTTCTGGCCTCATTGGCCGGATGTGTTTCTTAGATAGTCTGGACTTGGGAAAGTGTTAAGATTGGATCAATTCAGTCAATCATCAAAACAACCAATCAATCAGGCAGTTAGTCAATCAGTCAGGCAGTCCGTCAGTCAGTCAGTCAGTCAGTCAGTCAATCAGTGACTGGGACTGGTGCTGGCCGTGGACAGACGTGTTCGGCTACTCTCTGTATATGAAAATCTAATTTAGAACACGAGACTCCTTTTTCAGGCCGATTCTAATGGAAAAAAAACGACGTAGAAAGAGTGGAAATGAAGGAGAACCAAGGACGAAAGAGGCCTAGAAAAACCGCTAGCTGGATCTCAGACGGATGATGAGAATCCTAGCTGCAGTTTGCCTCAACATGGCAACCACCATAGAAGCGATCAACCAGAGGTCGGACCTGGCTCTATCTAAGTTCCAGGAAATCGCCGAGCTAAAGGTGAATCTAAAAGATCTTCGGAAAGAAAACATCGATTTTAAAGAAAGTCTCTCCGACGCGCACAAAGAAATCGCCGAGCCAAAGGAAATTTCTAAATTCCACGAGAGAGCGATCGAAGCACTACAAATAGGTGTTAAAGTGCCACTGAAACGAAATTTTCGTACTCTCTTTTGTTAGCCCAGTTTATAGTTTCAAACGTGCTTAAAGTAATGGTGAACTTTATTTCTGTCAAATCCTAACGGAAAGTGTTTTTT